TCAATCGGAACGAAAGGTTTTTGCATCCTATCGATGATAAATTAGTTATTGTTTGCCATAGCCGCCTAAAATGTAAAGCCAACTCATAGTTTAACATTCATTTGATTTTTCACCAACTGATACACAAATACGATGATCTTTTAGAAGACACAGTTAACATTAATTTATCTGGTCGCCTCCACACCAAATTTGGTCCACTTTCATGACTAGCTTTTTATCTTAGTCGTAATATGAAAAAAGTCCGTCTTCTCAACGCCAACTCCGAGTATTACCTTACATTCCCTATCTTCGTAGCGTTATCAAACTCTTTTCATCCTCTCGCTCGTGGCACATTACCGCTTCAAATTTATCGAGGAAAAATATGGTCACATCCCTGCCATTCTGCTTATTTTTTGATTCTCATATTAGCCAGTTGCGAATCCTCCTTTACGGTTACGCACTGCAAAGCTTATTATCCGGTCTCCTAACAAAAGCCCAAACAAAGTTTGTCTACTAGTTTTGCTATGAAAAATGCACATCCAAACTTCATCTTTCACCACAACCATATACTTTTTGGAGGTCCCCGTTTGTATGCCCAGTGTCGGTTATGGTACAAAGCTAGCCGATGCAGAGTATCCCCAAGTTCTTGGCTATATCACACTAGTGTAAACAATTACTTCAATGGCCTATTTTCACGGAGACCTCACTAACGAAGGCGGAAACAAATATGCCCTTGGACTGACAAGCCATTCTACCTGACCAGACATTAACGGGATTGAATAAAATTCAGAAGTTGAATCGTCGGATATCAGATTGAAATGTTGGTGCAAAAATCGTGACGTGCAAAAGGACGTACATACAATTGGTTTGGTTTCCATTATGTGGCGATAGCAAAGGGAGCGGAATAATGACGTTATTTAGTGATTGAGCCAGACTAGCCCGATTTACGGAGCTTTGCAGCTGACACCAAATGGGTCAAGATAAAAAGACTGATTCAGGGAAGTGCTGAATTAGCCGCAGGCGAATCAGGTAAGAATATATACATAGGTGTTGCGTGTACAGGCCATAAGCAACTATTCATCTGAATCCTGGATCGTCGGGTGTATACCAGCCTCCTTCCGTAGGAGGTAGCGTTCTTTAGCAGCCTCAAGTTCTTCCTGAGTGGTGATACGTGGCTTCGAGCGTATCATTCCTTCAGGTGGGCCTGGAGAGGCTGGTCTTCCCGGTTCGGAGGCAGGATTAGCTGATCCAATTTTCTCACAAGCAAGAGGTAATTGGCGCGTGTCTTCGCAAATAGTTGATTCACTGTTCTGTTTAGGATAGGGTATTTGCATAGGATAGGTCGATGAAAGGTTGGGTTCTGCATTGCTAGAATCCTGCTCGGCATTCCCTTCGGATG